GTTGGGGTTTTTTAAAGGGAAAAGTCATAAAGAATGGGGGAGTTAGGTAAACATCATAAAGGATGAGGAAGTTAAATGATAGCTCATGTCTCAATGGGAAGGTTATAGGTATCTCAAACAAGCATTCTTTGGGCATTGTACAGTTAAACATTGAGCAGGAATGTGGTGAGCTAGTTCCTGGATCAGGGAGTGTTATCTAAGTTTATCTGGAGGTTACCGGTTTCTCAGGAGAGGGCAGAAGGACAAGTTACTCTGTGATGGGCTAGTTGCTAGGGGCCTAAAAATGTTGAGTTGGGGTCTCTCATTAGGAATGGTACCACCCACACACGGTGGTTCTTCTCACTTCACTTAATAAAATTAAGGCACGCCGGGCATTGGTGGCGCACGCCTTTAATCCCAGCACTCGGGAGGCAGAGGCAGGCAGATCTCTGTGAGTTCGAGACCAGCCTGGTCTACAAGAGCTAGTACCAGGACAGCCTCCAAAGTCACAGAGAAACCCTGTCTTGAAAAACCAAAAAAAAAAAAAAAATTAAGGCACCCCACAGTCATTCTCAGAGGCTCATCTCATAGCTATTCTAGATCTCACCAAGCATAAGGATATAAATCCAACCCCCAGCATCTGTGTAACACTAGGCATGGTGACGAATGCTTATGATCCCAGGAGAATGAGTAGCTGTGTGGAGGGAAGCCCCTGTTTAGGGTAGGGGAGGAGTCGAGAAGGGTGAGGATGCTAAGATGGACTCTGAAATGTGTAACAGGCACCTGTGACATTGAAGGAGCCTGGAGGCCAGCATGGGAGTTACTATTCTAGTAGACACCACAGGTGACCATTTGTCCCTTCTGCATGAGATAATGGAAATCACTCCTTTTGGTAGGAGGGAACCAGTATCACAAGTTCCTGAGGAATGCTGGCTTTTATCTGGCCACCAGAAATCCTCCTATAGTTGTATAGTTGGGCTGCCTTTGGGACTTGGGAAATTAGAGTTTCCTTTGGGCCTGATGTAACACCCTTTCGTGATGAAGGCCACGATGTAGCTAGGAATAGAGGGAACACTTAACACAAACCCATAGTCAACATTGTACTAAATGGGGAAAAAGCTAAGCATTTCCTCTAAAATCAGGAACCAGACAAGGGTACCCCTTTCTCCACTCTTAACCTATATAGTACTTGACTTTCAGCTGGGACAATCGTGACAGAAATAAATATAAGTGGTAGAAGTAGTAAAAGAAGAAGCCAAATTATCCCTGATTTCAAACAATATGATCCTGTACTTAAAAGACCCTAAAAATTCCATCATGAAACCCTTAGACCCAATAATTATGCTCAGCAGAGTTGTGGATCCCAAGCCAACATCTGAAAAATGGTGTTTCGTGTACACTGAACATGTGAACATTCCTAGACAGAAGTCAGGAGAACAATCACATTCACAATAGCTTATATAAGACCCTTGGTAAAAAAAAAAAAAAAAAAAAAAAAAAAGCCGGGCCTTGGTGGTGCACGCCTTTAATCCCAGCACTTGGGAGGCAGAGGCAGGCGGATCTCTGTGAGTTCGAGGCCAGCCTGGTCTACCAAGAGAGTTCCAGGACAGCCTCCAAAGCCACAGAGAAACCCTGTCTTGAAAAGCCAAAATAAATAAATAAATAAATAAAGACCCTTGGAGCACATCTAAATTGAGGTAAAAGGCCTCTACTGTGGAAACTTGTAGGGGTCTCTGCTGTTATGCCCAGTCCACAGGACCTCCAGAGAGGCCATCAAGGAGCCAATTCCCTGAATGCAAGCACAAGGTTTCTTTTTTGAGTTCAAGCCTAGGCAGGGACCTCGTTCCTCAGGCTGACTGAGCAGCTGCAGGAGAAGGCCCCGAGCCATGTAAGCAAGGGGTTTATGATATGTAAAAGTTGTTTTGTGACTCTGTTGATTAACCCTGGGTATCTGTTCTTCCTGCCAGAGTCAGGGCCGTGTGTGGTTATCTGTTCATCCTGACGTCCTGCTTTTCCTGGAACTGGGTGGGTAATGTGGGCCAGACTGTAGGTTAAGGGGTGAAGATCCCATGTTCTGTTTCCAGCCCTCTTTTCTAAAATGGCCCTGGTTTTGGTCTCTCACCAGCAAGCGCTACCACTAGCAGAGAAACCAGCCATGTGAGGCAAGAAAGTTCAACATGACTCAGTCAGCTGGTGTTGGTTCAAGCTTCTAGAGTCTGACACTGGGCAGTCTATTTCAGACCGTACCATTTGGGGGAAAGGTTTTTTAGTAACAGAGATCTCAACCCCATGTGCACAATAAGCTAAGGTGTGATACATTGAAACTCCTGCAAAGTACATGTGACCTCCTCTGTAAAGACTGGCTGAAAGGTTCAGGCCTTACGCTGGCCTGCCCTGTTTCCTGGCAAGATGCACTCAGGCCAGCCCAGAGTTCTGTGAGAACCACGCAGGTGCAAAGGACCCCTTTAAAGGACTGGCCCCTGCCCTCTCACGCTCTCTTTTACTCTCATCTTCCTCTCCATCTCATCTTCTCTCTTACTCTCATTCCCCCCCCACATCTCTCTCTCAGCTCTGCACGGGTTGGTTACCTTTCACCCCCCCCTTTTCCTCCCTGTCCACCAATAAAACTCCACGTGGGATCGTTGGGTCACAGTCTATGTCTCGTTACTGGGTAAACCTAGACATTTTTTTTGTTTGTTTTGTTTTACGAGACAGGGTTTCTCTGTATTGTTTTGGAGGCTGTCGGTCTAGCCCGGCCTCGAACTCACAGAGATTTGCCTGTCTCTGCCTCCCGAGTGCTGGGATTAAAGGCGTGCGCCACCACTGCCCGGCAAGCCTAGACATTTTAACAACACTGGCTCTATAGCTTAAGGGCTTAGGGGATGATCTGGTGTGGTCTAGGTCATTGCAGAGGTCACCGAGCTGCAGAGCACATGTGACATCTCCCCTAAGGATGGGATCTATGGATTGAGAAATGATGCTCAAGATAAAGGTCTAGGGAGGAAGAGTCTGGGACAAACAAAATGGTCTGGGGGATTCAGGTGAGGCCTGGCCCCACAGATAGTATAGATCACCAGGCTATTAACAGCATCTACCCTCAGCCTTCTGGGTAGGAAATAAGTTACACATCTCTCCCATTGAAGAGGCAAGTCTGCTGTCTAACATTCCTGGTTTCCCTGGTGCTTATCTGTGAGCACAAGGACTTTGTGCCCACCCTGAGGGAAGAAACTGAAGAAGACATGAGAAGATTCAAAGTACTCACATGTTCACAAACCAACAGAGTTAACCCTGTGAAAAATTACTGTGAACGTCTTGTACAGATTTGGTGTGACCTCCATCATGTCTCTAGAATGGAGCCATCACAATAGTGGGCAACCTCCATAGTTCAAACTTGTAGAATTCAGCTGGTTGGGGCTCCCTCTTGTCTTCGCCATCCTTTTCAAAGAGTGGGTTCCTGCTAAGAAGCCTATCCCCTGCACCACATTCAATTTCAGCATTAGCTTGCAAAACTTGTGTTATTCTGTATCCCATCCTATAAAAACTACCCAAGACAATCTGCTTGTAGAAAGGACAGCCTTACTTGGAGTCACATTTTCTGTGTTTTCAGCCTATGGTTGATTCCACTGCAAGTGTCCTCAGCAAGACTGTATATCACATCAGGAGTGTGTGGCAGCAGAGCCAATCAATTCCTGATTAGGAAGCAAAAGAGAAAGAGGAAAGGGCCAGGATCCCACAACCTCCTTCCAGAGCATATCGGTGACAGGGCCTCCCACTCAGTTGCCTCTAAAAGGGTTGGTTTCCTCCTGATAGCAGCTGTCTGGGAACCCTAGTCTAGACCGAGGGGACCTGAGTCTAGATCCAAGCTAGAGCTCTAACTAGAAACACGGACTAGCCAAAATATCAAAACCATGATGGAAGAGCATAAACACAAAAAGTGAAATAAAAAATAACTAAAGGGGGCTGGAGAGATGGCTCAGAGGTTAAGAGCAGAGCACTGACTGCTCTTCCAGAGGTCCTGAGTTCAATTCCCAGCAACCACATGGTGGCTCACAACCATCTACAATTCAATCTGGTGCCCTCTTCTGGCATGTAGGCAGAACACTGTATATGTAATAAATAAATACATAAAAATTTAAAACAACAACAACAAAAAATAACTAAAGGGTGGAACGAACATATAGAATGAGATGCAGGTGAACCAAGCGTATTTTATGACTGGATGTGTACAAATGGTCCTGACACATACCAATTCAATAAAAACAAGTAAGTGTCAAATCAACAATGCAGTTGAAATGGAAAACAACAACAAAAAGAAAACCACAAACTAAAAGGGATTTTGGTTTTCAACACTCATGTTCCCGATTGAAAGGGTTATGCGTTCTGAAGACCCACATGCTGGCAAGGCTCCTGTGAGGAAATGGGAGTCTGATATGAAGGCTGAGCATACAAACAAGAGTGCCAGGCTGGGTGTTGGATGTCACGGTGCTTGACTTAGGGCTGTTTCCCCTGATGCACTAGTGGGAATCAATTGCCCGTTCTAACACTGCCCCCACTCCTCCCTAATTGATGCTTAATAACACAAGATGCTCTCTCTACTCCTTCTCTCCATTCTGGTCAGGACATGGTTTCTTCCCTTCTCCAACCTTCTGAGTGGAGTGAGGGGTGTGGAGGTGGAGCTCGGTGCTGGAGTCCTCGGGTGCTGGGGAGACAGACAAGGTTTTGGCTATGAGCAGTGCATGAACTCCCGTAGAGCGGGTGTTCAGTGAGAGACACCAAAATTCATGGTGTCTTGGGCATGGGCAGGAAGCGATTGAAGATGAGAGGCATAGGCGAAGAAAAACAGACTGTCCCTCTGTTGCAACCCTTCCCACTTAGCGAGAAACAAGGAAGTCACAGGAGCGTCAAGAAAGAGGGCCAGAGGAAGGCATACCCTGGAAGACACTCCCACCCACACTGTCCACAAACACTCAAGTTCCAGTTCACTCAGTGTTTCCTGTTAGAAGTTGAGAAAATTGGGTGTTCCCAGTTTTCTAGACACAAAGGACTGGATGAGCTCTGACACGTATGTGGCATCTGCGTGGTCCCTCCCACACCAGCCCTCTGGGCTATAGTTTTCCACTCTGACTGACTTCCCACCCCTGCTCATTGCCACACAGGGAAGCCAGAGTCACAGTCTGCAGACTTCACACAGGTAACCCGGCTGGGGTCGCCAGGGGACCAGCGGGACAGGGGATGAGTAAGGGGACACAAGGAGGGATGGACTCTGGGCCTTGGGTGGAGGGAAGTGTGCAGACGGGGGAAGGCTTTGTGCGAGATTTGTGACTGCCCCTTCACTGGATTCTCATTACACTCACACTCGAATTCAGCGCCATCTCGGGCCCAGTTGCCATCTTATTCTCAGCCCTAACCTCAGTTCTTTGCTTAACAGACTTTTGGAGATATTCTAGATCCAAACTCTTCATGTATGTGTAGGTGCATGCATGCATGCATGCACATGTATGTGGAGGCCAAAGAATAATCATGGCTATAATTCCTCAGGAGCTATTTACATTGTGTGTGTGTGTGTGTGTGTGGTATTGTATGCATGTGCGTGCACTATGTGTGCAGGTAAATGCATGTGTGGAGGCCAGGGGTTGATGTCTAGTATTTTCCTCTATCGCTCTCTACTTTATTTTTTAAGGCATGTTCTCTCACTTAACTGGAAGCTTGTCATTTGGGCTAGTCCATCTGCCGGTGAGTTCTTATGACCTGTGAATGCCCCACTCCCACAAGCACTGGGGTTACAAGAGTGTGCCACCACAACCAGCCTTTACATGGGTGCTGGGGATCTGAACTCAGGCCCTCATGCTTGTACAAGAAGCCCAGTATCTGCTGAGCCATCTCCCTAGTCCCACACTGGTTTTTGGTTTGTGTGTGTGTGTGTGTGTGTGTGTGTGTGTGTGTGTGTGTGTGTGTGTGTGTGCGCGCGCGCATGCATGTGTTTTCTGAGACAGGGTCTCTGACTGATCCAGGACTTGCTGATTAGGCTTGGCTGACCTGACAGCAAGATCCAGGGATCCAGCTGTCTCTGCCTCCCCAGCGCTGGGATTACAAACAGAACGCCATGCCTAGCATGGTATCATGCCTAGACTTTTCTTTCTTTCTTTCTAAACTTTATTTATTATTTGAATTATATGTACACATGTGTCGTTGTATGTGGACATGTACATGTGAGTGCAGGCCCCCTCAGAGGCCTGAGGAGTTCAATCTCCCTGGAGCTGGAGGCAAGGGCAATTGTGAGCTGCCCTAGTGGGGAGCTGGGAGTAGAACTCAGATCACCTGCAAGAGTATTGCATGTTCTTACCCACTGAGCCATCTCTCTAGGCCTTTGGCCAGCTTTCTCACATGGGCTGTGGAAACTGAATTTAGGGCCTCATATCTGCACAGGAAGCACTTTACAGAATGCTGCCTTCACAGGTCCTTACCCCAGTCCTAAGCCCAGCTCCTATCTCAACTCTAACCTGATTCCACCCCAGATCCACCTGGAATCTTCACACAAGTCCTGCCCCAAACTGTCCACACTCAACTCACTTCACTCCCAGTTTTACTGTAGTCTTAGGCTCGGTTCCCTCTGCTCCTGACTGGGTGCTGACACAAGGACAAGTTCATTGTCATTTTAGACCTTGGAGTGGCACCTGTTTTTGAGGTCTTAACATTTAATTTTTATTTACAAATCTTCAAAGAACAGCATGACTTTGCTAAAATTTTTCATTTGGAGTGTTAAGTTCTAAGTTATTTATAGTTTATATTTTTGAATCATAAACCATCATAAAATTTGTTATTTGTGCCGGGCGGTGGTGGCGCATGCCTTTAATCCCAGCACTCGGGAGGCAGAGGCAGATGGATCTCTGTGAGTTCAAGGCTAGGCTGGACCGACAGCCTCCAAAACAACACAGAGAAACCTTGTCTCGTAAAAACCAAAAAAAAATTTTGTTATTTGTTCTTTCCACCCCCCCATTAGAATTTCTAGTAAGGGACCATGAAAATGTTAAGAAAGGTCGTGAAGACAATGTATTCCAAATAGTCAAAGTGATTCTCGAGACATTAATAGACATTATTGAAAAAACAGAAACAAGTTGTTGGGCTAGTGAGCTGGCTTATGGGTAAAGGAGCTTGTTGCCAAGCCTGATGACTTGAGTTTAGTTCCTGGAACTCACAATATGGAAGGAGAGAACCAACTCCTATTAATTATCCTCTGGTTTCCATGTATGTGCCATGCCACACATGTGCGCGTGCGCTCACACGCATACATACACACACACACTCAAGCAATGCATACAAATGCGTGGTAAACAACAGAAAACCCCTCTTGGTTTCCTATTATTTTAAATGATGGGCTAGTTAAAATCATTTTCTTTGAACTGTAGTATCTTAAACCCTTCAGAGTGGAACTGTGGTATGAGTCCTTTCAAGAAAAAGTTTCTGTGAGGCAAAGGATGCTGTCAATAGGACAAAATGGCAGCCTAGAGTGTGGGAAAAGATCTTCATCAACCCCACATCCGACAGAGGGCTGATTTCCAAAATGTATAAAGAACTCAAAAAACTAGACATTAGCAAACCAAATGATCCAATCTTAAAATTGGGGTACAAATCTAAATGTAATTCTCAAAGTAAGAATCTCAAATGGTCAAGGAACACATAAAGAAATGTTCACCATCCTTAGTCATCAGAGAAATGCAAATCAAAACTACTTTGTGATTCCACCTTACACCTGTCAGAGTGGCTAAGACCAAAACCACAAGAGACAGCTCATGCTGGAGAGGAAGTGGAGCAAGGGGGACACTCCTCCATTGCTGGTGGAAGTGCAAACTCGTACAGCCACTTTGGAAGTCAGTGTGGAAGTTTCTCAGAGAACTGGGAGTCAATCTACCTCAAGATCCAGCTATACTGTTCTTGGGCATACTCCCAGAGGATGCTCAATCATACCACAAGGACATGTGCTCAACTATGTTCGTATTAGCTTTATTTGTAATAGCCAGAAGCTGGAAACAACCTAGATGTCCCTAAACTGAAGAATGGATAAAGAAAATGTGGTACATTTACACAATAGAGTACTACTCACCTGTTAAAAACAAGGACACCAGGAAATCTGAAGGCAAATGGATAGAACTAGAAAATATCCTGAGTGAGGTAACCCAGACTGAGAAAGATGAACATGATACGTACTCATAAGTGGATTTTAACCATTAAAGAAAGGATAACTGCTACAAGCCACAGACCCAGGCTGATTGGGTAACAAGGAGGGTTAAAGGGGGAAACCCGGATCTCAATGGGAAGGGGAAATAGAAGAGAGATCATAAGTGGACTGAGGGTAGGTGGGGATGGCAGAGGGAGGGAGGGACAATGGAGGGAGAGCACCGAAAGAGACTACTGGAGAGGGGGATGCACAAGGGACTTTCCCAGGAATCTCCAAGGTTGACCCCAGGTAAGACTCCTAGCAGTAGTAGATACATAGCCTGAATTGACCATCCCCTGTCACCAGATTGGTGCCTGGCCTACTTGTTATCGGATGGAAACAGATGCAGACCAAACGTAAGGTGGAGTTTGGGGAATCCTGAAGAAGAAGGAGAGGAAGGATTATAGGAGTCAGAGGGGTCAAGGACACCACAAGAAAACTCACAAAATCAACTAACCTGAACCGACAACCAGGGAGCCTGTGTGGAACTGACCTAGGCACTTTGCATATATGTGACAGTTGTGTATCTTGGTCCTCTTGTGGGACTCCTAATAGGGGAAACAGGGTCTGTCTTTGACTCTTTTACAGGCCTTTGGGACCCTGTTCCTCATACTGGGTCACCTTGCCCAGCCTTAATACATGGGGAGGTGCTTAGTCTTACTGTGACTTGATATGCCATGTTTTGTTGATACTCTTATAAGATCTGCCTTTCCTAAACAGAAAGGGAGGAGGAGTGGATTGGGGGATGGAATAGAGGGGGGATGGGGGCAGGACTAGGAAGAAAGAGGGAGGGGAAACTGGGGCCAGGATATTAAGTAAATAAATAAATAGACATGTTAAAGAGAAAGAGAGAAAGATAGACACAACATATGAGGTTTCTCAAAGTTAAATTGAAAAGAAAGCCCTTCCACACATGACATTTAGACGTAGTGTTTGAAAATATTTGTGTGTTCAGATTGTAGTCAGGCAAGGCATCCTATGGTCTTAAAGAGCAGTATGTTGCTGGGCAGTGGTGGTGCACACCTTTAATCCCAGCACTTGGGAGACAGTGGCAGGCAGATCTCTTGAGTTCGAGGCCAGCCTGGTTTACAGAGTGAGTTCCAGGACATACAGGGATACACAGAGAAGCCTTGTCTCAGAAAAATAAAGCAACAACAACAACAACAACAAAACAACCAAAAATCAAAACCAAACAGTATGTCATGGTCTTTCAAATGCTTTGTCACTCTGGCTAATGCTGCACCAGTAGAAGCAGCCCAGAGTTGTATGTCCTCAGCTCCAGTTCTACCTCCAAATCCCACCACTACTCAAGGCTGCTGCGATTCTGAGGTCATGTCTAGCCTCAGCTGCAAACTCACGTCTACCTCCATCCTTGCTTTAACCTAGACTCATTCTCTTACACTTTTGGTTGTGAGCCTAGCCTCTAACAGCTGAGCTGTCCCTCCAGCCCCCTAGGCTCATTCTCAACTGCAATACCCTGCTAGAGCCCCAGCTCTACCCTGCTTCTTCTTAGACCTAGTTGTACCCCAAACTGAACCCTGGCTTCTCCATTTCAGTTCTGTGAATTTGCCTAAACAAGACAATGACGTATGAAAACTTCCAGAACTTGGGGAACGAGGAGAAAACCCAGGAGCCTGGGAAAGGTAAGAGGAAAGGAGGAATGGAGTCTCCTGAGCAGGCTCTGAGTATGTCTGTCAGAGTTTCTGCTGTCGTTTCTTACCACGCACCGGTAAGCTCAGTCCCTCTCTGAGAGTCCGTTACATTGCACATACAAGGTCAGGGACAGGAGTGACCTGGAGTGTCCTGGCTTCCCATGCGTTGTGGGCAGGGATTGAAGCTGTGCATGGTGGGTAGTTGGGTTTGGAGAAGTTCACCCTTTGCTCACACAGTCATGCAAAGGCTAAGGGCCTGATAATGGCCTGGCTGTCCCAGGTACCTTTGTGTCCTTGTATCACTCTGATGTAAGACCTCATGGAACACTGTAGCCCCTGTCTGCAAGTGCTTAATGTCTGTGCAGTCTCACACGTGTGCACCTGAGCCCTGACAGCAGGAGAGGCTTCTGTGAGTGAGGACGCATGTTGGGCCATGAGAGGAGAGAGGCTGGAGCACCATCACCCCAATCCTTCTTGGCCTCCCCCCTCTTACAGCATTACCAGGGCCAAACATTCACCTCAAGATACGTCCCCTGGGGCCCACACCTCCTGAATCTGTCACACTCCAGAGCAGTGATTCCCAACCTTCCTAATACTGTGACCCTTTAATACCGTTCCTCACATTGTGGTGACCTCCAACCATAAAATTATTTTTGTTACTACTTCATAACTGTAATTTTGCTACTGTTACGAATCGTAATGTAACTATCTGATATGCAGGATGTCTGATGTATGACACCTGAGGAAGGACTCCACCGCTTGAGAACATCTGCTCTTGACCATTTAGCCTGACGCCCTCTTTTCTTTCAGCGGCTCCCCCCCAGTCCTTCCTGTGGAATATCTTCTCTTGGACCCGCCTCCTCCTGTTCTCCCTGGTCCTCGGCCTCCTGCTGCTGGTGGTTGTCTCTGTGATTGGATCCCAAAGTGGGTGTCCTCAGTGTGGCAGGGAAGGGGGGAGTCACTGGGGTGTGTGGTGGGCCAGGCCGATGGGGCAGTGATGGGTGCAGAGGGCACCTGCGGACAGCAGTGAGGGCCATGGCAATGACAGGGTTAACAGCCAGAGAAGCACAGTGCACAGTGACTGGAGTGGGTAGTAGCTGACAGCAGCAGTGGGGACACTGGTGGGGACATGGGGACTCATGATGGGGATGGCTGCTGGCCGTGTCACTTATTATTGTGCTTGGGTTACACGGTCACATTACCTCACCTCCTAAGACTGGGTTTGCTCATGTGCAGTACTGGGTGACAATGGCACCTGCCCCACCGGGACTCTGGGACCAGAACGCTACTCTCTGTGCAATGTGCCCAGCTCAGTGCTGGCACAGAGGGACCGAGCAGCCTTGGTTCTGATCATTCTGTCGCCCTCATCAGATTCCCAGTTAAGGAGGGACCTAGGCACCCTGAGAGCCACTTTAGACAACGTCACCTCCAACACAAAGGATGAACTGCAGGCCCTGATCTCCAGGGGTGAGTTGGGCTCTGACCAGGTTCTGGGCAGCAGTGGCTGGGTAGGGAGGGCAGAGGCCTGAGCTCCGGTCCCTTGCTGTGCAGGCAACAGCTTGCAGGAGAAGATCAGCTCCCTGAAGGTAGAGGTGGATGACCACAGGCAGGAGCTGCTGGCAGGTGAGAGGCCTGGTGTCTGAGTGCAGAGGGTGTGGGTGGAAGCCGTTCCTGGTGCTGAACTGCGGTCTTCCAGGACGAGACTTGAGCCAGAAGGTTTCTTCCCTGGAGAGCACGGTGGAGAAAAAGGAACAGCAATTCAAAACAGGTAAGACCTGGGCTTCCTGTGCCCTGGGGGCAGATGAGCGTGTGTAGTTCCTAGACTGAGCCCTGTGCAGGCCGTCTGAGCAGCAGGGACTCTTTGTCAAGCAGAGGTCACAGCAGAGCTTTGTTCTCACTTCCTTCTGTGTGTCCCAGGCCTGTCTGAAATAACGGAGCGTGTCCAAGAGCTGGGGAAGGACTTGAAGTTCCTGACATGCCAGTTGGCCAGCCTCAAGAACAATGGTGAGGATGGCGATGGGCGGAGTTGGCTCCAGTTCTGGGAGATGGCACGCTAGGCAGCGCCCTGTTCTCCACCCTCCCTCTCTTCACAGGCTCTGAAATGGCCTGCTGCCCTCTTCACTGGGTGGAGCACGAAGGCAGCTGCTACTGGTTCTCTCAGTCTGAGAAGTCATGGCCTGATGCTGACAAATACTGCCAGCTGGAGAATGCTCACCTGGTGGTGGTCAACTCCATGGCGGAGCAGGTGTGACTTTGATGGGCTCTCCAGGAAGTTGTCTGTTAGAAGGAGAAGTCATTTCCCCCTCTTTCTTTTTTTCCTCAGCAATTTATCAATGATCACAAGGGCCCTGTGCCCACTTGGATGGGTCTAACAGACCAAAATGGACCCTGGAGATGGGTGGATGGGACTGACTTTGACAACGGATTCAAGTATGTATGTGGCCTACAGCTTGCTCCCTCTCCCTGGGACTGTCCTATCTTTAGCATATGACCCTGGGGGTTTGGGGGGAGCTCCTGCTAACACGGCTAAGGGCCTGACCTCCTGGAGCTCAGAACCAATTGTTTTCAGGAATTGGAGGCCACTGCAGCCCGATAACTGGCATGGACATGGACTGGGAGGAGGTGAGGACTGTGCCCACTTCTCTTATAATGACGGTCGTTGGAATGATGATGTCTGCCAGAGGGTGTACCGCTGGATTTGTGAAACAGAGCTGAACAAAGGCAGCTAAGAGTCCCTTACCCCTAACTTATACCTTCAGTACCATAAGTTCCGGATGTCTGGCACATCCCTGGTCTGGGTATCTCCACCATCTCGGGACATTTTTTTTTCTAGGATTTTAAGAGGTAGATAAAGGATGGTATATGAGGAATGTAGCATTGTGTTTGGAATGGTATGGACCCTGATGCTGTGTACAGTGTGCAGCCTATTATTGTCAACTTATTCTTTTAGGGTTAAAAAAAGAGAAATATACGTTCTAAGAGTTGTCTGGCCGTTGTTTGTAGGGAGCTGGTGGTGAGCCGGCTCGCATTGGGAAGCTTTGGGTGGGTGACGGCAACATGAGGATTGGACGACGCTTGGCCAGATGATCTGGTTAGAAGCCCCGTTTTATTATTTATAGATACGCTTAGGCAACTTATTCTGTCATCCATGTCACTGCTGTTACCTGTCTACCCACTGGAAACTGAGCTACCCCAGCACTGAATACTTCGCGCCACAAGCAACTCTAAGGTATCAGGAAAAGAAAGACAAGGCGTTTAGCTGTTTGTACTAAGAGAATGTATGTGCTGCCTTTATTGTCAGGAGAATGTGTGTGTGTGTGTGTCTTTAAGAGATGTCTCTCTTGTAGGAGGCAGCAGTCTTATATACAGGCTTACAGCACAGTGGAAAAACCCCAGGTGAAAGAGAGCTTTCTCCTTCTAGATGTTGATGTCAGAGGGTCAAGGCTGAAGAAGTAAGCCAGGTCTAGAAAACAGGAAGCACTTGGACTGGAAAACAGGTTGCGCTTGTAGGCTGACCAGAAACTCACAGAGACCCCATGGGGCTGGGGCCCAACATCTCCCCCCTTCTTTATATATAAATTAGCACCTATCTTAGGTGACTAGGATGTTAATGTCAACCTTACTCGTCAATGGAGAAACCACCCAGACTGTGTGACCCTCCTGTCTTGGTTGGCTGGCATCTCCTTAGTCTCACCTGTCGCTAACTGTCTAATATTTCTGTAGGCTTAATAGTAGTCAAGCCTGAGGGATTCTCTGTGGTCTTTGAGCGACAACTCCATCTTGGGCTGGCTTAGTGCCAAGGCACCTTAACCAAATGAAGTATATGATGATAAGTCCTATGGCTACATAGGCCCAGAGATGGGGACCCGGCCTATTCCTTGATTAAATGGCCTGTCATTTGGGGTTTCCTAAGGATGATCTCTCTAGAGGATGGAGGAACCCGGGTCTCATTTATCCTAATAATTTGATTGGCCAATTGATGAGTATAAACTTTGGCAGGAGTAACACAAATGTGTGCCAGGGTAGGCCAACAGGTTTAAGGATGTAAAATTCCTACCTGGACTAAGTTATTTCAGGAGCTCTGAGTGCTGAGAGCCTCTGTTACTTCCCCTGCCAGTTTATCTGCTGTGCTGGCTGTAGTTACAGACTGTGAGATGGCAGTCCCAGATACAATGGCTGCTGTAGCAGCAAAAGCGATAGTTATAATCGCCCCAGCAGTGATCACAAAGTCTCTTTTTGGCCGCATTAGGGCAAGTTGTATTTTTCCAGAAAAATACACTGGCAAAGGCGCAATTTTAGGAACACAAACCACTAAGGCTGATATTTTAAGCGGCCATGTCCTTTTTAAATACTGAAAAGGGGCTTTTGTCACTCATCATGGTTCATACCAGTGTCCAATTGTTTTAAATGGGTCCTTTTTTCCCCAAAGGGAAAAAACTGGCAAAATGAATTTTGTGTTTTAAGGTGTATCAAGGGCAAACTGTCAATCTTTTAGTTCTTTGTCAGCTCTGGGATGGAAACTCAGGGGTCCGGGAGGTTGGTGTAGCAGGCCTGTTGAGAAACTGGAAATCTCGAACCGGTCCCCCCCCCGTAGATTTGATGACATTAAGGGTAAGGAACACTAGCTTAGGGGATCTCACTGGAACTGGCTTGCGCAAGCTCCCATGGTCTTAGGCCTAGTTTTTCTTTGTTCCATGCATCTCAACAAATGTTTTGGCAGCCACTGAGCTTTATTCTTTTCCTGTAAGAAAATATAAACACGCCCTTGACCCCAAATTAGGGCAGAATTGGATCTTTTCCACTGTCTAGTGCATGGGTGTCTCCATTTGACCTGAGCAAAAGTCACTCAAGTTTTATCATGTCAGAATCTGTCTGCAGCAGATTGTTCACTGGCATCTACATTTAAAATTTTTAAATGAGGAGTGTATGATTTAATTAATCATGTGGGGATTAGGGACATTACTCCCCCTTTTTTATTTTATTTATTTATTTATTTTTTGCTTTTACAAGACAGGGTTTGTCTGTATTGTTTTAGAGGCTGTCGGTCCAGCCTGGCCTCGAACTCACAGAGATCCGCCTGCCTCTGCCTCCCGAGTGCTGGGATTAAAGGCGTGCACCACCACCGCCCGGCCCCTTTTTTATTTTTTGAAATTTTGTTTGAACTGTTTGTTACTCTATAGAATATTTTATAAAGATTTTTTTTGGCTCTCAGGCCATGTTGTAGGCTTTTGTTATTTTTTTTACTGACTGGCTCTGAGGACTCAAATCGTCAACCCTTTCTGTTAAGACACTGACTGGCTGGATTTTTTTTGGCTATATCCAAAGTAATTTAGGTAGCTTTTTAACGATATCTAAAGTAACTTAAGTATCCTTTTAATCATATCTAAGGCAATTTAAGCAGTTTACACTTACGCATTTACAATCACATTTTATACATACCGGTGTGGCCACACCATACATACAGAACATACATACTTTTAGTCATCCTGTTTCCCTAGGTCATGATTAGTTTGTTGAAATAAAACTTTCTTAATTGAAATCTCTATGACAAAACAACTCCAGCCAATCCTTGAATTAAAAGAAAAGGTTGAAAAAGTCCTGTATGTCCCTCATCATCCCTTCATTTGAGAAGTTTTGAGCTACACTTAGGGGCTACAGCTGTACCCACTCCTTGTAATTCTGTAGATGTAGGGTGGAGAGGTCAGGCTTTTGGTCAAAATTTTTTAGACATGATTCACAAAATTGACCTTAAATAACCAACCCTGTATAAATGAAAACAAACATTTATAAACAATATTGGGAATGTGGGCGTCATTTTTTAAAACTACTTTCTGCTGTTAAGGGCCTCTGAAATACCATGGGGATCATGACAAAAAAACAGAAACCTATTGAAGTCCTTGTTTTTGTGGTCTGTAAGGCTGCATCATCTCAGCTGTTTTAGATGTTGGATCACCTCGGTCACTGCTTCAGGTGGCCTTGCTTCATCAAACCATACTAGTCTGAAAGGAACCCACAGCTTTTTATTTTCTATGGAAACAAAAGCAAAAATTCTTTTCCCAAGTAACCTGTTCTTATATTTAAATTTAGAAGTCAAAGCATTTTTAAAATATATAAGATGGATTAATTTAGCAGTATTTATATTCAAATGTCTTTTAGCAGTTTTTGTTCCTTTCTTAGCAATTAAACAATTTAAAGACAACAGCACATGGTATCCAGACTCTCCATGTATTTTCCATTCCATATACTTTTATCTTTTCCTTTTCTTTCACTTAGTACCAGTACCTCAATCACTAACTGTTACCCATTTTTAATTCACCCTCCAACAGAGGATGATCCCTCAGGCAAAAGTCTGAAGATTTACTCAATCCACCCTCCAACTGAGGGCGATCTTTCAGGTTCCCCTTTCTTTCCTGACCTTGGTATTAGGCGAAGGCCTGGAGATTTAATCTGGTACCCCTAACTTGGTACCCTTTTTCCAATATACCCTTATAACCTTACTTGTTCACCAGCCTTCAAGGGCAGTCTCTCAGTTTCTCTTTACTTTGTTTTACCTCAGTGGATCACGTGAAAGGCTGGAGATTAATTTAATACACCTTCTCCTTAGAAGGTGAGCTCTCAGGCAAAAGCCTGGAGATTTGACCATTCAATTTTACTGTTAGAAGTTGAGGTACCTGTTTTCAAATCTTTTTTTTCTCAAGTCTCTCTTCTTCTGAGTCTGCTTTCTGGCTGATCTTTCCCAGTCTTTCCAAGTCTCTCTGGATCTCGGTGGAACCTCCAATTGTGGTGCCCATGCCACAAGCAAGTCTAAGGTATCGGGAAAAGAAAGACAAGGCATCAGCTGCTTGTACTAAGAGAATGTATGTGTTGTCTTTATTGTCAGGAGAATGTGTGTGTGTGTGTGTGTGTGTGTGTGTGTGTGTGTGTCTTTATTTTAAGTGTTAAGAGGTCTCTCTCTTGTAGGAGGGAACAGTCTTATATACAGGCTTACAGCACAGTAGAAAAACCCCAGGTGAAAGAGAGCATGTTTTTCTCCTGCTAGATGTTGATGTCAGAGGGTCAAGGCTGGGGCAGTAAGCCAGGACTAGAAAACAGGAAGCACTTGGACTGGAAAACAGGTTGCACTTATAGGTGACCAGCAACTCACAGAGATCCCGTGGGGCTGGGGCCCAACACTTCAGAAGCATTGAATGATCCTACTGATCTGTTCTATTCATCACAAGAGAGAAGCTGCATTCACAGACAGGTGACAGGTACATACCACACGCAACCCAAAATCACCAAACACTTTGTGACAACCAGGAGGACGTCAGAAGAGAGTCACTGACACTAACAACCAAGGGTTGTAGTAGGGACCCAGGGACCCACCAGTCAGGGCTCCCAGATGCTCACAGAACAATTGGCAGACACAGAGAAAGAATTTTCCCACAAATAAAACTCAACTAATGACAGGAGTGTAAAGTACATTCTTCCTGCCAGCCACCTGGGTCCCGTTGCCGCTTTAGCCCCCAAATAACACACGAGGCAGCATGTTAGTTATGAAGCTGTTGGCCATTTGCTATTGTTTCTCACTGGCTAGCTCTGACTTAACTATTGACCCATAATTACTAATATATATGTTTATAAGGACTTATCTTTCCGAGGATGCCTCCTGACGTGTCCTTTCCTCCCGGGAGACCACTCTTCACTACATTTCCCAGAATCCTCCTAGACTCCTAGCCCTACCTATCTTGCTTCCCTATTGGCCAACAGTGCTTTGTTTATACCAATCAAACATATACACAGAAGGTCTTCCCCATCACAGGAGGGAATGGTTCTCTGAACACAATGCAAGGGTTAGAAATGAGCACAGAAGCTCATCTTAAAGGGTCTGAGGCAACAGGTAATCTCCTTACTGTTTTTCAAGATAATTTTGGACTTAACAGGAAAATCAAAAAGAAAAACTTTAAGTGATTTAGAAAGGAAATATGTGATGGTCTGGA